ATAACAATATTGTTGGTTACTATGTAAACATAATTGTGTTTAAAAGTTAATGTTATACAATTAAAAAGTAAAAACAAATTAAAAAAAGGTACATAATATCATAGTATGACATATTATATAATGAAATTAATACAATCAAATCTATATCAATTATATTAAAAGATATTTTCAAAGTTACTCATACAGACATAAATAACAAATCCATTTTATATAATTAGCAGTTAAATACTAACAAAACATATAAAAAAGTTAAGTAAAACCGTTACAAAGTGATATAATATTATTTAAACGCTTTTTGACATTACATTAAATTGACAATGTATTTTGAAGTAGGTATAAATGAATACATTACATTATGAAAAATACAATATAGTAACACACTGAACACACCAAATAAACGTATGCAATCCATCATTATAATCATTATACCATACACATGTATACATTATCTTATTTTCTATTCTATTATGTTTATAACGCTAATTGTAGTGTAATGTTAAGACTCACTGTATAGTTTCATCGTTATCCTCAATCTCCAATGTCACACGGTCGTGTCCCTTGTATACATACTTGTATATATACATGACGCTTTTTATGGTCGTGCATATCTCGACGTTGATGTGAGCGTCGTACTTGGCCAGAAGGTAAGGGTTGTATGGCACTACACACTCGTTACCGACCTCGCGACCTCCCACAAGTACCGTCCGGCCGTTATCCGGTCGGCGATACCTTGGATAACCGCCTTCCGCAACGTACACCGTCTCCTCTGCGTACGCTTTCGGGAACTCTTTCGAACAGCTGTTGTTCACCATGCACGGACACTGCGGGTTGACTGTTCCACACGGTCCGTGTATCATGTGCGACTTCACGCAGTTGAGTAAGCGCATGTCTGTCGCCGGATCCGGCAAGAAGGCGCAAACCACGTCGTCGACGTCCGCCGCCGTGCGGAACTTACAATCCTCCTCCAGGATTATGAGTATGTGCGCATGGGGCAGACCGCGTTTCTGAAACTCAATAGTATATACGTAAGCGGCGACTTCACCAAACACACGATCAACAGTTATATCACTCAGTAGCTCCTGTAGTTTCATGTTGAACACCCTGGCCGTCAGGTCGGGCCTGTCATTTGGAACGCTGAAAGCCGCCAGGTTCTCCGTGATCTCCAGCCACCTGGGATTGCACGTAAACGTTATGTTCATAAATAAAACGTTATGTCGGGCTTCCCTTTGCTACGGACCATGGCCATAGCGTCTTGGTAACACATCTTGTTGTATCGGTCGCTGCCCACAAACGTCGACGGCAAAATGATCCTATGGCCGACCGGTTCGATGTTGAGACGTTCGTTCACATGGTCCACGAGCCCCTGATACGCTTCGGCAAAGATTTCTCTCTGATGGTCACGTATGTAGTTCAGATTGTTGGTTTCCATCTGAACACTGTGGTCGCACAGGTACTGGTGAAACAAGGACCGGCCCTGATGTATCGAACTGAACATTGGGTGCCTCGTGTCGTTGTTTCCCTCATATCGACAGGCCACACGGTAGCACGCAAACTCTCTTATAGAGTTTTGAGCGCGGACATTATTCCGTCGAGGGCCCTCTTGCTGCATCCCGTTATGCCAACCGGCCTCGCCGTACGGGAAAAACAGCGGATACAACATGGGATCCGAGTGACACGAACCTAGAGAAATATAATAATTTTAAGTTAATTGCTAAACCAAAGGTCTGTAGTAGCTGAGAGTTGGTTTATGGAGTTACGTTTGTGTTGTGTGTACACAATTTGTAGAACCGCCAAAGAAAGGTATGAAATAATGTATAGAAAATGTCAATGAGTTATTAGGAGTTATTTATTTATATCTATTTATTATTTATTATTATGATGTGTGTATAGCAAGTACCTACATAATGTTTTGTAGAACCACAACCGAAAGGTAAATATATTTAGGAGGAAAATTGTGATAGGTATTATGTTGATCCACGTTGTTTTAAATGTATAATAATGTAATGGCTTGTTTCACAACAACACAATGAATTTACGCTGTTAATTTAATAAGTATTATTATGTATGTCGGTTACAGTACAATTAAAACCATTTATTTATTTGTCGTTATGATTGTGTTGTGTGTATAGCAAGTACATAATGTATTGTAGAACCGCAAAATAAAAAGTAATTTATAAAATAATCTAAAATATGAACTCTAAGGTGGGCTAATTTCTATACCAAGTGTTAATAATTCTAAGTGACGTTAGTTATTAAGTATACACAAATTATGAAATAAGAGAACAGTGAATTAAGCATTGAAGTATTGTAACTATGTATTAAATGTATAATAATGTGATGACTTTGGTTTGTTTTATCACACAACAAACTCAAACTGTTAATATAATAAGTATTACTGCACAAGTGAAAGGGTTGAAGTCGGTGTTGACCTAACATATTAGTCATTAAGTAATAAAAGAATGTATAGTAATTAAATTCCAAAAGAATGTATAATGTAGTAAAGGTGGGGTGTAATATAACTCTTTGTCGGTAGCAGTTAGACTCATATAAGACTGTTATAATAATATGTGTGTGTGTGAGGTGTACTAACCCGCAGGTATCTTTTGGGTCCTGTACGGCTCGTCGATTGGACTGGTGTCGAAGATGACCAGATCGATGCGTGCGGGAGGCTGACCACCTTCACCTACGAACACTGCCGCAACTTCATCTGCGGTAGGCAGGTTGTTTCGGCGCCTATCCCTACCTTCAAGGAAATTCATTGTGACCGGTCGAGGTGGCCCAACTGCGGGATCGGCTCGGTCTCTTTCTGCCTGCCACACCTGACGCATGTTCCTGAAACGAATATATTTATATATTATTATGTTAAACACACTCTGCGTATAACAAACAATGTTTCCATATTACCTGAAATGTATTAATCAATAGTAATTGGTGTATTTGGAGTAAACTAAAATATAATGTAGGTATGGAAATATCGTTCAGTGATATTGTTAGAAATAATTGTAGAATCATTCAATCCATTTAACTCTATATTGGTAGCGGTAAGAGTATAATCTATACTAAATATTATATATTATAAATATTTGTGTGCCTGTGTGTGGGTGTAATAAGCGTGGAGAATCACATTCAATGTGTATAAAATGAATTATTAAATGTACTTCAAAGTTACATAAATATTTTAAGTCATAAACATCCGAACCCTATTTAAAACTCTTATTCAATGTTATATCATCAGTATCAAATAACTAATAAGGAGGAGTTAAGAAAAATATTTGCTATGACGTTTACATTATTGTAAATCATTATTAAGTCTAAGAGAGGTATGTGTAAAATGTATTTACAGTAAGAGGAAATTCACATTCTTAGTGTTCATAAATACAATGGTTTAAGTTTTCTTACATAAAAGCCATTGCGTACGGATTGATGGCACGCAGCAAACCGTCCAATAAAGCCATCACGATTTCGCACAGTGCACGATTGTTCCGTCGTGCAATATCGAGGCGCTGGCGGTTGGCCTCTCCGGAATCCAAGAAATACAACTGACAGTTGTACGCATTTTCCGGGGCAACGACCACCTCACGATTGGTCGTCCGATAGGTCTGACCGTGGACAATAAACACCGGCGGTCCCCGCCCTGGCAAACGCCTGTCGTGTGCGTCGGAGGCAAACGCAGCGAATGCCAGATAGTTGTTCAACCGCCGAACGTCCGCACGGAATCTACGACCATCCTGTGAATCATCTGTAAACAAACTCTGAATTAAATACGGTACCGGCAACAACGCGCGTTGTCCTGCAGCGACCACTTGGCCGTTGTTACAACAAGTGTGGAAGTGACCCCGGGTTGTTTCCTCGCCACTGAAGTGACGGGCGAGACAATGTCTGCAGACTCTGTCAAACGCGCCCACGAAGTACCGCTCTGGAAGCGGGTGCGTCACGCCCGCCTGCCGGTTCATCATTGGCGCGAGCCCTATGGGTAGTTCGACCACTACCTCGTACTCCATCTCCTCCACCTCTCCCTCAGAGCCGAACAGTTCCACAACTTCCACTTCCACATTCCCCTCCACCAGACCGTCTGGCACTTCCATGTCCTCCATCTGGACCTCCTCTCCATCCACATCCTCCACTACCTCCATCCGGACCTCCTCTCCATCCACATCCTCCGCTACCTCCATCTGGACCACCACTTCTTCCACGTCCTCCTCCCCGTCCACGTCATCACCAAGTACCTAAAAGTTAAGTCGAGTTTAGAGTAGGTACAATATTAAGGTATTTATAATTATAAATAATTAAATATATAATATAATTTTTGTGCATACTCAAAGAGAACTGCTGAACTAACGTATTAGTAACAACGTATAAACCAATAGTAGAATGTATATTATTATTACTTTCACTCGACTGTATAAACACAATATTAAGTATACCATATCAGATATGTAAACATAATCTTTAGTTTGTGGGTTGTTATATACTTAGATGTGAAGGTTTTTATATTGTGTTACATTGAAAAGACAAGACACACGTTTTAAGAAGAAGTATTATATTAACTTAATGATCGGACGCACTAACACACACAACAAGTGACGAGTCATGTGTGTGTGAGCGACACTGATGCCAACATTACATATTTAACGTTATCATACAAATAATAGTATGTTATCATTACATCCTCCCCATTACTTTTAACAAGACTTAGTTCTAATAACATAATTAGTAATTTTTTTTTTTTTAACATAATATCATAAAATATAATAACATTTTTTTTTTTTCATAATCAGCATAGTAACAGAAAATAGTAATAACATTTTTTTTTTTTTATAATCAGCATAGTAACATAGAAAATAGTAATAACACATTTTTTTTTTATAATCAGCATAGTAACATAGAAAATAGTAATAACACATTTTTTTTTTTTTTATAATCAGCATAGTAACATAGAAAATAGTAATAAACAATTTAATTAAACAATTTAATTTAACAATTAACTCAGTAACTATATATTAGTTATACATCAACCTATCTGGTTTTTTGCTTTGTCTCTCTGTTCTTCTCAATTTTTCCACAGTTATTATTTTCTCTTCTCTCTCTTCTCTATTTACTTTATCTCCTTCCACATCAACTTCCAAACTTAATGTTTTCCTTTTCCTAAGGAAAAAGATATTTCTCCTCGCCAACTTTCCTTTCTCATCTCTTACCAAGTAGCATCTTGGTAACTCAAGTTTTTTTATTATTGTTGCCACACTCCATGTTTTGTTAAATTTGTCTTGTAACCATACCTTTTCACCTTCTTCAAATAAGATTTCTTTTACCGTACCTTTTTGGTCAAAATATCTTTTTTGATTGTTTTGGTTTTCTATCATTTTTTCTTTTATTATATTATTTTTATCTACCTGGATGGTCCTAATAGGTAATTTTGTTTTCAAGACTCTATTTTGTACTAAACTTGCAGGAGATTGACCAATATTAGCTAGTGGTGTATTTCTATAAGTAAGCAAATAATCTTCTAACTCACCGTTTGTTTCTCTACACTTTTTAATCATTTTCTTTACTAAACCAACATATTTTTCTGATAATCCATTACTAATAGGATGATTTGGACTAGAATTGTTTATTTGAAACCCCCACTCTTTAGCAAATGATCTAAATTGAAAACTATTAAAAGGCATGTTGTCAGCAATTAATATACTAGGAATACCAAACCTTGCAAATATTTTCTTACACTTTTTGCTCAATTCTGTTGCGGTTTTCCATTTTAATTTACTCACTTCTACCCACCTTGAGAAATAATCTACAATCACCAAATAGTCCTTACCACCATAATGAGCTATATCCGCTCCTACTTTATCAAATGGTATATTTGGTATTTCATGATTCAATAATTCATTTCTCTTATTACTTCTGTTGTATTTATTACAAATAGGACATGTTAATACTAAATTAGTAATATCAGACATTATACCTGGACAATAAACATGTTGTTTTGCTAACTCTTTTGTTTTGGACACGCCTTGATGACTATCATGCAGTTTTTTAAGCATATCACTTCTCAATGTTTTCGGTATGACTACTCTATTTTCAAAGTATACCAGTCCATCCTCAATTGACAACTCTGATTTCAATTTGTAAAAGTGATTAATCTCATTATTTTCTTTTATTTTGTTTGGCCACCCATTTGAATAATACTCTTTCACTCTTTGTAAAACCACATCTCTATTTGTTTCTATAGTTTTAATTCATTTAGTTTTTCTGTACTGTATTTTATTTCTGTAATCTTCACCGTATGTATTAAGTCTTTCAATGATTCATCATCTTTCTCTTCTTTATGTATTATGTTTCTAGTTAACAAATCTGCTATGTACATATATCTCCCAGGCAAATACTCTAACGTAAAGTTATAATTTATTAATTTTAATTTTAATCGTTTTAATCTATTGTTCTCTATCTTCTCTAAATTCTTTTTTACAATCGACACTAACGGCTGGTGATCTGTATATATTTTAACCTCATTGTGACCATAAATGTAATAATGAAACTTTTTTACAGCAAATGTAATAGCTAATAGCTCTTTCTCAATTACTGCATACATCTGTTCAGTCTCTGTTAGTGATCTCGAAGCAAACCATACTGGTTTATTTGATTGTAATAAACAGCATGCAATAGCATCTTTGGACGCATCACACTGTATTTGCACTGCTTCTTTGGCATTAAAATGTACTAATAATGATTTTTCACTAATTAAACTTTTTATTATTTCTAATATTTTTCTGTGCTCATCTGTCCAATTCCATGCTGTATCATTCTTTAACAAATCTCTCATTGGGCTAATTATTTCAGACATGTTTGGTATAAATTGTCTCAAAAAATTTACAACACCTAATATCTGCTGTAATTCTTTTTTATTACTAGGATTTTTTAACTTCTTAATGACTTCTATTCTCTCACTATCTGGACTCATGCCTTTCTCATTAAAAATTAATCCCATGAATTTTACTTCTCGCTGCTTATATTGCAGTTTTGTAATATTAAACCTAATGTTATATTTTCTAGCTCTCTCTACAACCTTATTCATAATTTGATAATGTTGCTCTTCTGACTCTGCAGCAATTAATAAGTCGTCAAAATATATAATTACACCTTCTATGTCTCCAAAATATTTTTCATTCTGCTTCATGAACAGTTCTGGTGCCACATTTAATCCAAAGGCTAACCTTAAAAATCTGTAGTTTCCAAAAGGTGTACTAAACGTACAGTACTTACTTGACTTCTCATCAAGCTTAATATGGTAATACCCATCTTTTAAGTCCAGAACACTGTAATATTTTTTACTAACCAATTTCGGAGTAATCTCTTCTAATGTTGGTACTGTAAACTGTTCTCTTACTAAGCCATTATTTAATTCTTTCGGATCTAGACAAATTCTCAGCGATGAATCTTGTTTTTGTACTACTACTAAATTGTTTACCCATTCACATGGTTCATCCATCGGAGTTATTATTTCTTTTTTTACAAGTTCCTCTAATTTCAATTTTAACCTATCTCTGATTTTTATAGGAACTCTTCTTGCCACACTAGCTTTAGGTACTACACCTTTTTTTAATTTCAGTTTACATACATCTGGGAAACAACCTACACCTTCAAAAACATCAATGTTTCTTTTAATAAAATTATCTTTTCCAGACTCCTCATTCTTTTTGGTAATAAAATCTACATTTCTTAATAACTCAAATTCTGTAAGCATTGGTAGACCAATTATTGATTTACTATTATAAGCTTTATCAATTACAATAAATTCTGTCTCTACATTTTTGTCGCCTAACGTTAACAGAGTCTTAACCTCACCTATGGGTTTCATTTTAAATCCACCGTATACTTCTAGTGTAACTTTTGTAGTTCTAATTAGTTCTTTTAAACCAAGATTTATACAATCCACTTCTGATAATGTATTAATCTCAGCTCCACTATCCAATTTAAAATTCATATCTTTACCATTAACCTTAAACGTTTTACACCATTCATTTTTAATCGACCATAACTTATGTACAGATTCTACAGAAAACATATTCTCCTCTTCTCTATTTTCAACCACTATTCCTTGCGCTTTTTTTGTTTCATTCTTATTAAATTCTTTTTTCTTTTTACACACCTTAGCAAAATGATGATACCCATTACAATTTTTACAACATTTGCCATATGCTGGACAATTTTTATACACATGCTTTAAACCACACCTATTACAATCTATCATATTATTAAATTCATTACCTGTTTTACTTATTTGATGTCCATTTGAATAATTGCCTTTTCGTTGTTTTCCACACTTCCCGTTCTTCACCCAAGTGTTGTTTTGATTTTGATCCTTGTTTTCCCATCTTGTCTTGTATCCAACTTCATGTATCATCTTGTCGGATTCATTGGTAGAAGTCAGCATTTTTCTATTGCTTTCTGCACGTTCAACTGATTGACAGTACGATACAACTTTTGTTAATTCTATATCATCCCTTAGCAGTCTTGTCTGCGTTTCTTTGTCAAATATTCCTAACACAATTTGTGTTCTCAATATTTTATTTTCAGTTTCACCAAAATTACAACCTTTAATCAGTTTTTTCAGATCAGTATACCATACATCAAACTGTTCACCTTCCTGCTGTTTTCTATTAAAGAAATTAAAGTGTTCAATGATTTCATTAGTTTTGGGAATACAATATTCTTCTAATGTTTCCAATATGGACTCAACTGACTCTTCACCACTTTTTTTGATTGTGTTGTACAATTTCAATCCATCATGACCCATCAAATTTAATAATCGAGCCACTTGTACATCTTTATCCTTTTTGTCTGTTTCTGTTGCTTTAAAATATATTTTTATTTCTTGATTAAATATTTTGAAATTTTCAGACAGGTTTCCTTCGAGGCACAAACCACTGGGCTTATTGAATTCCAATGCCATCGTTTTTTTTTTTTTTTATCGTTGTTTCGGAGAATAGTGGACTGTATAAGGAATTAAACTTATTCTACTTAGAAGCCTAATAAATCAATAAACACGGTGCTTTAAATTTGATTGCCGGATTGACGGCCTACTATTTAAAATAATTACAAAATACTTCTAAAGGGGTAAAAGGGCACAATAAGTGCTGGCCAGCTAATGGGTAACATATTTAAGATAAAAAACATACAATAATAATAAATAAATAAAAATACACAAATTGGTAGAGATAATATATGAATATAAAAACCGTGACGGCGACTGCAGTCCCGGGTGGCGGGTGACGGTAGACGGTGCGCAGGTGAACAGATGGAGGTAGACGGTGAACGATAAGTGGTGGACGGTAAGCGGTAACGCACTACACAAATTCTGGTGCTCGGTGTCACGGTAACAAAACTAATCTTTTTTCGGTATGTGGTATCTTGGTAAGAATCGGTTGCGGTAGATTTTTGGATCACGGACCCGGTCGCGTCCGTTGTTCGCGGCACAGTAACGCGGGACGGAGAGAGATGCGAGAGGGAGTATGTATTACGGCGAGTGGCGACTATCGGAACTCGGAAGCCCTATCAAGCCGTGATTACTGTGTGACGACGTCGTCGTCTAAACATACTGCCCCCGTTGAAGGTACCTAGTTACCTTCAAAAGTTAATGGCAAGCGACATAGTTTCACCGCGGGACGTTTTACAATTTTTCCCTCTGCGGTCCGGACGTTGGCAACTCGAACTATTTTATCTTCTCCTGGGAAGACTTCTACCACTCGTGCAGTTCTCCATGTGAGGGGCGGAGTTGGTTCCTTAATAAGCACAAGATCCCCTGGAGCCAGGCTGGTTTCAATTTTGTTCCATTTGGATTTGGTTTGGATAGTATGCAAGTATTCCTGCTGCCAACGTTCCCAAAAATGTTGTTGCAGTTGTTGGACGAGTTTCCAGCGTTGGTGAAGCCCCAGCTTTGGTAGAGTTTTAATTGTATCTGGCGTCGGCATGCTAACGATTGGTTCGAACGTTAAAAAATGTCCAGCGGTTAGTGGTTGTAGGTCGTTAGGATCTGATGACATGGACCCTAATGGACGTGAGTTTAATATTGCCTCAATTCGGTGAAAGACGGTGTTCAACTCTTCGTAGGTCAGAATTTGTTCTTTGATTGTACGATGTAAGAGGGTCTTAGCGGATTTTACTGCTGCCTCCCATAGACCACCCATATGTGGAGCAGCGGGTGGATTCAAATGCCATCTTATCTGGTGGGTCGCAAGACCTCTCTCTACTTCGTCGGACTTAATCAATTTCTGTATTACCTCCAAGTAGTTTTTCGCACCCACAAAATTAGTGCCGCAGTCACTATATATAGCTTCACAGCGACCACGTCGACTAATGAATCTATTAAGTGCTGATAGAAACAGGCACGTGGTTAGATCACTTACAAGTTCGAGGTGAACTGCTCGAGTTGCCATGCAGACAAATATACACAGGTAGCCTTTTGTGGCTTGGATTCGTCGTAACAAAGCGGCCTTTACCCAAAAAGGGCCTGCAAAATCAACTCCTACCTGCGCAAACGCTTTGATACTTGCAACACGAGCTCGAGGCAACGCTCCCATCATAGGGTTCATGGGGTTTGGCTTCGCCTGAAAACAGGGGATGCACTGGTGTAGTCGTTTACGTATGACGCTACGAGCCGATAAGATCCAATAATCCTGGTGTAGAATATTCTGCGTCGTTTGTGGTCCGGGATGACAATGAAGACTATGTACATAGTCGATCAATAAAATGGTTAACTGCGATTGTTTTGGGAGTAGTATCGGGTGTTTTGCCTCATAGGGTAAGTCAGAGTTCTTCAAGCGTCCTCCAACGCGGATGAGATCACTGTCGAGATCCAAGTATGCACCAAGCATGCGAAGTTTTGGTGTACACGGTCGGTTTTGCCTAAGACAGTTCCAGTCTTCCGCGAAGTGTATATGCTGGACCCATCGTATTAACGCCTGTAACGCATCTCTCTTTTCTTGGGCACTTGGGCGATTGGTTGGGTATTGCACCCTGGGCGGCCTACCCAATCGTTGACGTAGTCGCAACCAATAAGCTGCTAAACGGAGAACTTTAGAAAGTTCGGATGACGCGTAAAGAATCGCACAATTTTCGTCTAGTTGTGTAGTTGTGGCACTGGTTATTAAGGTAATCAACTTTTCTTCAGATTGATTCTCGACAAGATCTGTATCTGACATATTTGCCTGTTGTGGCCAAGTATCCAATGGTTGTCGAAGAAATGTCGGACCATTCCACCACAGAGGATGGTCAACAATTTCGCTGGGTGTCAGACCACGTGATGCGCAATCTACGGGGTTCTGTGCCGATGGAACGTACCTCCATATCTTTTGTGAAGTAAGTTCTTGGATTCTCGCAACCCGATTACCGACAAAGGTTTTAAGATTAGCTGATGGGGTATTGATCCAGGCAAGAGTCACCATAGAGTCAGTCCAAGCATAGTACTGGTCAATCGGTAATGACTTCAGATTAGAACGGAGATAATCGATCGTACGTGCTAATAGTAGTGCGCCACAAAGTTCAAGTCGAGGAATCGACAGTTTCTTCTCCGGAGACACTTTAGATTTGCCCATTAATAAGTGAACTTGGATCTGACCGTTAGATGTGCGTGCTAGAAGGTAAGCAGCGGCGGCGTAGGCACTCTCCGAACTATCGCAAAATCCATGGAGTTCGTAGTTGGCATCCTCGACGGTAATCCGCCGGGCCACACACACTGAAGCAATAAAAGGCAACTCATCGTGATATCTTGTCCACGCCTCCTTGGCCACTACTGGCAGATCATCATCCCAACCAATTCTTAGGGCCCATAAATACTTCATCAACCGTTTTAGGTTGGTTATTACTGGCGTCAAAAGACCTATCGGGTCATAGATTCGAGCAATCTCGGACAAAATCTCTCGTTTACTATACCTCACCGGATTAGGTTGATACTGGTACGCTATCGTGTCATTTTTGGGCTCCCACTTTAACCCAAGTACTTTTGTGTAGTCTGATGTTGGCTCATCAAAGGTCACTGCCTCGGTTTGTCGGTGTTCGGGTGGTACAGCTTCAAGCAGAGCAATGGAATTGCTAGACCATTTTCGTAGATCAAAGCCTCCTCGCTTGAACACATTAATTAAATCTTGCTGCAGTCGAAGAGCCGATTCTTCACATTTCGTTCCAGTTGCTACGTCATCCACGTAAAGATCAGTATAGATAACCTTTTGAACTTCTGGATGGTTTGCGGCTTCATCCGCGGCCAATTGGTGTAGGGTTCGAATGGCCAAAAAGGGTGAGGAACGCTGTCCAAACGTTACGGTTGTCATTTCAAACACTTGCACTGGATCTGTAGGCTGAAAACGATATAGAAGTCGCTGATACGCATGGTGTTCGGCAGTGATATCGATTTGGCGAAACATTTGCCTTATATCTGCAGTGAATACTATGGAATGTAATCGGAATCGTACTAAAATCCCCGACAAGTCTTGCTGAAGTTTGGGTCCAGGAAATAGACAATCGTTCAAAGATTTTCCATTGGAAGTCACTGCAGACGCATCATACACTACCCGTACTTTTGTAGTTAAACTCTCGGGCTTAAGGACTACATGGTGTGGAGTATAGTAGGAGTGTGAAGTCATAGTCTCAGTTGAATCGACTGGTTTCATATGACCAGCATCGAGATAGTCTCGCATAGCTACATTATACTGCTGACGGAGTTCCTCAGACTTCTCTAGTCGAATTTCGAGTTTGTGTAACCGCTGCGTGGCCATCGCTCGGGACTCTCCCAGATGTGGTGGGTTTTGTATGAATGGAAGATGCACCACGTATCGACCATCTGGTCTCCTTGCAGTTGTGGTGGTGTATAACTCCTCGCATTTTATGTTTTCGGGGGTCTGATGCTGGATTTTTGGTAGTTCTTCCAGGTCCCAAAAACGACGTAGTGTTGAATCAATCTCCTCCAATGCAGTTGTGAATGTGTTGGCTGTCTCTATTGTTGCAGTTCCGGTGTTTCCCATGAGTGTCCATCCAAACACAGTTTCAAGCCCAACCGGCTCCGTCCCTGTACCTTCTCTACGACCACTTCGAGTAACGTAGGGAACGACATCAGCGCCGAGTAAAATGTCTACTGACATTGGCTCGTCATACCTGGGATCTGCCAACTCGAGTCCCTTTAGATGTTTCCATTCGGCTTTCCATACGCGTTTTGATGGTAATAACCCTGTTATCCGAGGAACCACATAAGCATTGATGTTTATTTCAGGAGTACTGCTTCTTACAGGACGCAGGTTTAAATTGACGTGAGACTTAATAGATGCTACCTGCACGTCAGACATCCCTCGAACCACTAAATTACATTTCTGTCGTGCTAAACCTAGTTTCCTTCCACAAACTTCCGTCATGTAACTACTTTCACTTGCGCCGTCTAACAAAGCTCGAAACTCTTGGTAATCACCATTAACATCTTGAACCAGAATAGCTACGGTCGACAAAAGCACACGGCAGCGGTCAGGTCTCTCATTAGCAGCTGAAAGCATGGTCGTGTTTGCGGTCACCGGTTGCTCTTCACTCTCCGTGGTTCTTAAATGTAACAACGAATGGTGGCGTCCGCCACATTCTGAACACACCCTAGTATTACTACATTGAGTTATTCTATGTTCACTAAAACATAAGTAACAGCGGTTCAGCTCTTTTATGATTTGATGTCGGTCCTTAGGTGTCTTCTCTTTGAAGACTGGGCACGCAATTAGCAAGTGTCCAGGCCTCGCTTGGCACACCTGGCACGAATAGTTACTTCCTTTTTCGTACTTTACTTTTCTCACTGTCGTAGTCGGTTTTTGAATTGATTGCACTATATGCAACGCAGTAGTCCTGGTTTGGGAAGTGGGTTTTGACTTTTCCCGCCCTCCTTCAGATTGACTTCCTGCTGCTGCTGCATTACAGAACTTAGTTAGG